AAATATAACTATGACGAACAAACACCACAACCTTATAACACAAGAAAGGCTAACGGTTCATGGACTTGCATGACTAGGCCGCTGAAGAACCAATAAAGGAATTATCCTACGCGCTCTTTGTTTATATGTTTTAGGAACAGAAACAAAGTAAAGCAAAGGATATTGTGCGAAGAGTATTCTATTTCAATGTAGAAAGATTTAATTATTTTGTCTCTGCATGATTGCAACTACTACCGCTCATTGTGTTCCTCATAAAGGGCGTTTCTCTGACTGCGGGATCTATTATGGATATTGTCAAACCAATCACGACAGGTTCAAACTAAATTACTGTATATTTGATTATGATCGGTCATTCGGTATAATTTACAATTCGCCCACGCCATATCACTTTCTTTCTCACTGTACAAATATGAGCGCAGTTGTGAATAACTCATATCAATTGCGACAGGTTCGCCATACTTTTCGAACCCTTCTTTCTGTTTGCTGTCATTATTGTCCTAATCAGTACCAGTAAAAACCTAGTACCCCTCAGAGCAGTCCCTAGGAGGTTCCTAAAAACTCCATGATAACTTCTTTTTCATGGAAGTTCATAGGAATTGTATAAGAACTTCTGCATTTTTTTAGAGAATAGAATGCATGATTCGAATCCTCTAGAGGATTTCTGAAACTTTTATTTACTGTTTTGTTCCATTATCACACATGGTGTAATAATAATAATATATTTATTCACGAAACGTAACAGATCACCAAAGATTGCCGACCTGTAACTCGATGACTCCTACCAAACAAACAAATCAGATAAAGAGAGCAGATGAAAAAACAAGATATGGATTTTGAAACAAAATAAAAAGATATAAGAAGTAACTAATAATACACAAATATGCTTAACTTTTAGCAATAAGAAAAGATACATTTAGAAAAGGGCGTTTTTCAAAAAAAAACAATAAAGACCAACAAAAAAATGATCGATTATGAAAGATTATTTTTGCTAGAGATCACTGAAGGTTCCGGGCATGTAATGAGGTGATTAAGCACTAAAGTTTTGGCTTGACTGTTGACTTCTATCCAGGATGATAATATACATTAATTAATATAAAAAACAGACGTTAACTTGCTGTTTGAGCTGAATAAATGATATTTTTCAAAATTTCAGTTCGTAAATGTCGCAGAAATGTGTGATTAGTCTTAGCTCGACTTCCAAATAATCCTCCGTTCTTTTTTGTCTTCTTTCAGTATTTTAGATGGTTGAATGAATATACAAAATAAAAAACTTTATATGGAAAAATACACAAAACAGAAAAAAATTGGAGAGGGCGCTTTTGGTGAGCTTTAAAATTATATGTTCATTCAATGCATTTGCTGTCGGACATCTTCTGTAGGTCGAGCATGGCTTGTACAAAACAAAGAAGATGGCAAACAGTTGGTCATGAAAGAAATCAATATAGCAAGAGTAAGCTATGAACAAGTTTTTGACTTACTCTTGTTAATCTAATGGTTAATCACTTTAGATGGGGAAAAAAGAACGTGAAGATGCAAGAAAAGAAGTAAAATAAAAATTTTGTCTATGAATTTCTAAAACTCGCTGATCTGATGGACTTCTATTTTTAGGTCGCGGTCTTAGCTCAAATGAAACATCCTCATATTGTGTCGTATGCAGAATCATTTGAAGGTAATCAATAAAAACAGCTCTGATGTATGTTAATCGATGTTTTATGGTTAGACCCAAGTAGCTTGTATATAATTATGGATTATTGTGATGGTGGCGATTTACATTCTCGAATACAAACACAAAGAGGGGTACTTTTTTCTGAAGATCAAATATTAGACTGGTTTGTTCAAATAACGTTGGCATTGAAGCATGTTCACGATAGAAAAGTATTGCATAGAGATATTAAATCACAAGTAAATAAAAGTTTTAATAAACATTTGTTGTGCAGACATTTTTTGGTGTTAACTGCTTTAGAACGTATTTTTGATGAAAGATGGCAGTTGTAAACTAGGTGACTTTGGAATTTCAAAAGTATTGAACACGTAAGTTCGATGTGACATAATTTCTTAATATTCAAATGAAAAATAATAAAATAGAATAGTCTTTGGTAGTAGCAATGAGACAAAAGCTGGTTTTTATGCCTCTGTTCCGGGTTTTACAACTTTATTTTATTGTATTTTAGAACGATGGAATTGGCCAAAACTCAGATTGGTACGCCATATTATCTTAGCCCTGAAATATGTCAACAAAAACCTTACAATAACAAGAGTGATATTTGGTCGTTAGGTTGTGTTTTATACGAGATGACAACATTGAAACATGCTGTAAATATTCTAACTATCTGTCGAAAACTGTAAACCAGTTTAACACATTATTTTCAGTTTGATGCTAATAATATGAATGGTCTCGTTCTAAAAATCATTCGGTAAGAAAAGTATCTATTTTTTCTCGCATATCAACATTAGGGACGTTCGGTTCTCATTAAGAACCGGAACTGCGGTTCTCTTATTTTTGATTCTTCTTCGGAAAGCCGAACCGCGCTGCCGGCTTCGACAATGGAACCAGAATCTCGATTTTTTAGACGGTTCCTTTTTGTCGGAACCGAGGCTTTTTAACCACAGATACCACGGTTTTATTTCGGGAAAATGAGCGAACTGTAACTTAATAGTTTGTCTGATCTTAAAACTGCTAAGATCGGACGACAGAAAAGTACAACATTAAAAGAAAAAGAACAAGTGTGAACGCACGATCAAATTTGTATTTCGTTATGGAATGCAAAAAAAAGACGAAACAATAATTTATTCGTTTATCTTCTGCCTTTTCTTTTTTTAGATGAAGACACCATTGACAAAGCTACAAAAAGTTATATTTACCTGTTATCATTTAAAAGAAACCTTTCGTTCACTATAAAATATATTCTATTTCGTTGAATTGTTACTGCCTGAAAAAGTCTTTTCCGGTTCTAAGTTCAAAACCAAGACCGCACTTCTTTTCGTTTTGATTCTAAGTCGAGAACCGAACATCCCTAATCAACACCTTCCGCCCACATAAACATTATTTTCTATTTGCAGTGGCCAATTCAATCAAGTGCCACCTAGATTCAGTGCCGAATTGCGTTCTTTAATTACCGGAATGCTGAAACGTGAACCAAGGTAGTAGTAGAAATTGATGTCGTCAACAATGAGTCAAATAATTATTGTTATTTTTATAGAGAACGCCCTTCAGTGAACAGTATTTTAAGAAAACCGTTTATTCTTAAGCGGGCCGCAAAATTTCTTCAAGATGAGGTAGAGGAAGTGATTTTCTAGAAAAAAGTTTGCGCGAATATTTGTTGTTTTTCTTGTAGCAATATGAGGAAGAGTTTAACCATACGGTGCTGCATGGTAGACAAGTTGCTGTTGATATTTTAGCTTTACCTCGGCAGCAACCAAGTAACAATTGTCTAGATTAATAAACGTAAAGATTTATTACCATTGTTTTTCTATTTAATTAGCGCCTCGACCGAAAGTGGTAACTCCCCGTCCGAGTGGAATTCCCCCACAGAGACCATCTTCAGCTATGGCCGCTCCAGCAGGAAAATCACCGTTATATGATCCAGTCAAAGTTTACGGTAACCCTGTTGTCGTCAAGCGACCAATTTCTGTTCAAAATCACATTAGGTAAGTTTAGTGGTAAAACATAAAACTATCGTCTATGGGGAAGTGATATTTTTCCAGAAATTCACAAGAGAAGAAAGTTGTTGAAGTTAATAAACATTCCGTATTGGACAATGACAAAGAACTAGAAATTGACAAACGTCGGCAACAACTAGCTCAACTTCAGAAAAGACGTGATCTGCAACGCGAAGAGGTTTAATTTATTGAATTCTTATTTTTTTAAAAGACAAATGTATTATCTTTGTAGGCGCAAAACTTGGTTAAGAAACAACAAGAGCTTATTGAGAAAGATAAGGTTCGTTTTCGTTTGACAATGTGGCACTATCGTTAGGAAAAATATTTTTACAATTCATAGATGTTACGAATGACTCAGGATCGACAACGCGGATGGCAAAATTTAATGATTAATCTACAAGTACGTATTACATAACTATCTAATATCGATAATTCTAAATCTATTGCCCCTAAATCGTAAAAATTGCGATTCAGGATCGAATATCTGAGATTGGTTTGACACGCTGTCGTATGGATTTTCCGCAGCTGAATGACACTTCTCAGGTTAAGGAAAACTGACATTTAATAATTCATGCATAGCCTGTTAACTGTATGACGAAAAAATTGACTTTTAACCAGTTAAAAACTTTTAAAAAACAGCTCGTTAGCAGTCACCGTTTTTTGTCCATCATTTCATCGTGAATCATGATAAAAGACATTTAAGGGTATGTCACCCGCGTTTTTGAAAAAATCTTTGATTTTGAGTTGAACATAGCCTAACAAAGAGGGAAGTCCGAACCATAACTCACTCCCAGCCTTTCATGACCTTTTTGATAAAGCTATGAGCTTTTCAAGTTTTTGTGCAAGAGGCTGAAAAACTCAGATTTTTAGTTTCTTTCTTCTTCCCAGTACCTTCAAAACTATTTCTTATGTATGTTTTGATTGAACAGAGTGTTCTCTTCACGATAAAACGGCTTTCAAAATTTTCCAATCGTTTTTGTGAGGATCTAAGCATTGCCGCAAATGCCCTGAAAAAGCGACCGGTTTACTGTTACGTGTAATGCTCAAAACATTGATAATTCATTCCAATTTGTCGATTACAACGTCATCCGATCGCGCTCAAAATTTTACCATAGATACCCCGGACGATATCTCAGAACGGTAATTTTGTTTCCCGTTTCTGATTTTTCTTTTCCGAGCTACGGGGTTGCCAGAACCAAACTTCTTGATTTTGCCTAGGGCTTTTACCATTTTTTTGATATCTCGACAAGGATACTGGTTTTGAACAGTTAACATATCAGCGAAGAACTAGCATCTAACGTTGGTAGTTAAATGTCAATTTTCAACTATTTGTCATCAAATCATTCCCTCTTTTGTTTCGCTATTATAACTGATATGAATACAACACTGATTCTTTTAAAAAACTTAAAAATTCTTTTCTTTGATTATACATATCATCAGACTGGGTCGCAAAGGAGTAACATCCAGTTTTGGGACTGGTACTAGTGGTAGTACTATGGTCTAAAGAACTAAAAATATTGAAATTTCTGAATTTATTCTTTGTAAGATTATCAATTAAAAAGAAAATGTATATGGAGATTCGAACACATGAAGTTAGCTTTGCCGTAAGCTGAGAATTAACGGGTTATTAATAAGTATTTAATAGACAATTAATTACACCACTTTCTACGTAAACATACAACGAATCTCTTTTAAAGAAGGTCTCGTTTTAGTCTATGAAATCATCCATTCGTTTATTGCTCAAACTGTTCGTTTTCGGCTTTGATGTGTATCAGATTCTGAGATTGATTACCACTTGAGCAAGAGCTTTCATACACTCTGTTCCTCTTCCCCTCTACGAAACACTCTTCTCAGTGATAAATATCCGCTATTGTTCGTTTATTTTTTGTTGGTCATTAGTTCTTTTTATTTCTTTGTGGTTTTGAAAACATGTAATGGAAGCAAATTTCACGATTGACCTTTCCTTGCTCTTTGTTGTCGTTATGTCTAACATGAAAATAAAATCCGTTTAAATCAACTAATTCATGATTTTGTATTTTCTAAGGATCCAGAACCAAATAATGCTGTTGCACCGACACCTGTGCTTCTTCCAGTAAGTTTTCTCGCCGTTTTAATTAAAATATTCTAGAATCGTGTTGGTTTATTTTAGCACAAATTAGAACCATCAAATAATAACAATTCACCAGTTTCCGGTCGGGAATCGGTATATTTCTTGAAAGAAATTTGTAGTACACGGCAATTACGTGTATTTTTCATTTTATGGTTAGGCTGCATCAAAACCATCACCAATAGTGGAAGGCAAAGGAGGTAATTATGACTTTTATCATGATCAATTAGATCAACATGCTCAACGGATGGTCGAAGGAGAAAGAAGAATGTATGAATGGAGATTAGGTACACTATCAGTAAAATTAATTTATTATAATGTAGAGATACGCCTAGTATTGCTATTATTTTTTATACCCTTTAAGAAGTTTTCATTCCTTTTCACAATTAAGTAAGGATTTATAAGTCATTTTAGAAAATACATTTTGCTGTAGGTGATCATATGGCTAAACAGAATCCACATGTGCAAATTATTCAACAACCCGTTATAGCTAATCACAATCGTCCGTCGCCTGTGTAAGTATCAATGTTAAAATTCATTAAATTAAATTATGTACGGTGTGGTTCACTTCAGCGTTAATGTCGGACGAACTCCTATTCCGATAAAAAACGAATATTTGGAAAACAAACGTCAAGCACAATTAAATAAAGCTCGAGGACAGGGTATCCTAGGAGTAAGTTTTTGATTAACAACTACATAAATCAAAAGTAAGCGTCTGTTGTTTACACATAATAAGGGAGGTGCGGCTGCTGCATTAAAACCAAATCAACCAAATGTTAATAAGTTTGCTGAAATGAATCAGAATTTAGAACAAATTCGACGAAAAAATTTGATAGATCGTCGCGATGTTAAAAAATCATCTGCTTACGACAATGTCAAATCACCACAAAAACCACCAATTATCAAAGTAAGTAATTCATCATCTAGCTCTGACTGTACAACCTTGTGCTACCTCTGTTTGATGGTAATATTTGTTTCGTTTATAGCCTGGTACTCCTGTTGATGAACGATATCGATCAGCATATGATCGTGATGCTGTGACAGAAGCAGAAAAAGTTAGTAATTTTCTTCAAGAAGAATTTTATTGTCCACCGTTCGATGTTTGTTTAATCTTATTATTTTTCTTAGAAAAAAGCGCAAGAAGCTTTGCAAAAAATCGAACCGGTTAACAACAATTTAACAGAAGTAATAATCAATTTACAAAATATTGGTGCAAAACCAAAGTGAGTTTTTATTCTTCGAAGCATACTTTAAAATGATATTTATTTCGAATTGTGTAGAAATGTAGACAAAAAAGCCTACTTACAACAATTAAATAAAAAATGGAATGAACAAGGTGGACCACAACAACGACAGCAATGGACTGATCATACTGCTGACGTGTCAATACTTAATAAATATTCTCCGATGAATGATTCAACGGGTAAGCATTTTAGAGGGAAAAAGAGTGACTGTTGTATAATTAAATATTTATATATAAATATATAAAATAACTTTTTCAAGTAACCAATGAGCCTAACCTTGCCATTCGCGGTCATGCAGCAATTCGACCACAGTGGGGTGTACAAGCAGGAACGGTATTGAAAGTACTTGAACAAGCCCTAGTATACGATGCAACATTATCAACTACAACAGATTCGTCATCACCGTTCAGTTTGAAAAATGTTGCACAACGTATCGATCAACAACGTGAACAATCTACAGAGAAAAGGAAAAACGACACTTATGTCATCAACAAACCATTAAAGCCAGGTAAAATGAAAAATAAAGATAAAGAGTTTTATTTCCCATGTCTTTACCTTTTCAGACATTCCCAATATTAAATTCGATGCTGAACCAGAAAAACTAGTGAACACAGATTTAATTGTTCAAGATCTTGATCGTACTGTTACACCAAATACAAAGTAATTAGAGAAATAAAATTTTTCGAAAAGTGATTTGCACACTCATTTATTTTAAGGTCATCAGAGGAGAAAATTGATTTGTTTCAAGGTTTATTCACCGGTCAATTCGATGCTAAAAATAAAAAAGTATGTGCAGAGTGTTAAGCATCTATTTTCCTTCCTGAAAACCGTTTAGATCAATGTCCAGGCTTATAAGAACGATGTCGTTAACGGCCCGCTCACGGATCAATATAAATGACCTGGGCGTATGTTACTTATAGAAAAAAATTTATGCTATTTTTGTTTAGCTACTCCGAACTGTATCCAATCCCGAGCTTCATAAACTAGTTTTAGTTGAAGAAAAACCTAATCGCAGTTTATCGGATGTTGACCATGAAGAACAGGAACAGTCTAGTGAACGAAAACTATCATTACCGTTGGACAATAAGAGTGCTAACAATCAATCTGAAATAAAACAATCATTATCAAATACAATAATTAAATCTGATCATGAGCCAACATTCATTATAAGTGGAAGTTCGGATGAGAGTGAACATGAAGAGGAGGAAGAAGGTAGTCAGTGTGAGCTGAAGTTGCTATTTAAAATATCTCTGTGATTATGTTTTTAGATATGAAAACGTTGCGTGATACATTGGCATCATATTTAGTTGAGAATGATGATGAAGAAGACAATAAAAATAGTTTAGATAAACAAACAAAACATTCATCATCTGAACCTGTAATAGTGACGAAATCAAAAGATGTTACACATAAAAGAAGTGCCAATAATTCAATTACAGCTGATGATATTGACGATGATGATGTTTGGTGTAATGAAGAAGACGAAGAAAACCTAGTATTTAAGGTGAAATTCGATCTTGAAAAAGAAGAAGAATTGAGAAAAATACTTGGAAATGAAACATTAGAGATAGTTCGTGAAGCCTTAAAAGTACGTATTATTAAATTTAAACACTTATTTTGTAACGATACAAATCTTAGTTGTAAGTAGAACAAGATTGATGAATTTCATGTTATTTAGAGAGTTGAAGCTGATACTCAAACCATTGCCAGTTTAGTTCCTGAAGATAAACGTCATTTATTAAATTCTGATGCATTACTAACATTATTATCCATGAATGTTGGTCAAATATCTAATTGAGAAAACGACCATTCATTGTTTGTTTTTTGCAATAATATGTTTTTTTGTGATACCAATTTCTTTTTTATGTGTATTTATTGTTGAACATATTTGTAAACAGTGTTTTCTCCCTACATTTTGTATTCTAGTCTTGTTTTTCTATACCTCATGAAATGAGCTTTTGTCAAGCATGTACTTTTGTAATTGTGATATCGACCGAATAATTATCTGATGCATATGACACTACTAGAGCTTCATTTTACTTTCAGAAATGTTTCTTTGTTTTTTTGCTATTATATACACCATTGTTATTACTTTTGCTTTTCAACGCATTCTTAGACGATTTTTAACTGTATTTATTGTGCAGAAAAGTTAAATCGTACTTAAATTGAAATATATGACATATGATACTGATCTTACCACTCATTCAATTCATTTAATCAAAATGACCTCTGGGGTCTAGAATGTGTAACGACAGAAGATTTTATTAAGTAGCTATTAGCGTCCAATCAGATGTTTTGCTAATGACCAGATGTACACGCAAAACACTATGAAGAAAACACATACATCTGGTAGTATTTATTATAATATCAATAAGATATTATTTTTCTCAAAAGTCTTCAGTGATAGTGAAGAATTGAAAAAAATTGATATTAAAGGATTAGTTAAACGTCGTTTAATCGTATCACAGATTGATCAAGACTTTAACACCAAAAACACTTTTTTATTCCTGTTTTCGTGTCATCAAATGAGAATACAATCCTCGTTGTGTCTCATTTGTAAAGAAAAAGCTGCTGGACAATCCTGCACATTCAAAAAATATTCGAAACAAAATATTTTCTCTATAGCTAGAATACTCCATCGTATTCACTGAACTTTCATCGAAAAGTGATTTGATGTAAAAGAAAAAAAGTTCTTCCTGATTTTCTGAGTTCCTATCACATAAAACTATCATCAAATTTATGAGATTGATTATCGATATTATTACGATTATTGATGAAGTGTCTATGGTTATGAATTTCACAAAATATTTTTAATAGGAGTCTTTCCTGAAAATATCATCATTAGTACAACTGAGCTCATATGGTGATTTTTTACTTCGGATAGCAGTTACAACTTTTTTTCTGACGACAGGTAAAAACGTCATGTATTTGAATGGGGCTGTCATACATACTAACAAAAAATCGCTTCACTGCCATATTTAAGAACAGTTCCTATTTATGGTAGGCCATTCAGTTTACTGTGCGGCGAAGATGAAGGTGAAAACTCGATCTGTCTTCGATAAAAATAGTACCATTCGATTCTTCGTGATCAAAGGAACATTTCTATATATTTTGCTTTTAAAACATTTTAATTTTGTCCGTCAAAAAAACTTTTTTTCTTCGAGGGTGTAAAAAACGCAGTGTATTTGAACCTTTTTATCATTGTAATTTAAACATTCCTCTTCAATTTCATTTTCTTCAGCAATTAAACTCACTAAGGAAATTATGGAATTTATGGGAGCCATCGATAATTGTAAATCGTGGCAAATTTCATTTTCTTTAGCAATTGAACTCACTAAAGAGATTATGAGAGTCTTGGATAATGTTAAATCTGGGATTTGGTTTTCTATTAGTTTTTTATCAAATTGTGGATTTGTATAAAACCCGGAAGGATTTTTCGCGTGTTGGAGGTTGTTGGTTCCTTGGAAAACCAGTAAAAGCTGAACTGAAAAATTGGCGCCGGTCAGTCCTTGTAGTTGGGTGTCTAGTTTAAAATAAAACAAACCTAGCTTGAAGTACAATAAAAAACCGTAGTGGAAACTTTTGATTCTTTTTGGACCTTGATCTCTGGAAACTGGTAAACCGTAAGACTTGGAGACAAAAGATTTTGTCATTCCCATTAAGCCTAACATTTTTGAAAAGTTTGCCGAAAATTGGATGTACGGTGTCGGCCCGACACTGTCGGAGATAATTTCTGAGGGGGTAGGGCCCTTAAAACAATTTAGTCGTGTTTCTTCTTATACCAGTGTACTCATTCTAACTATTTGTTTTAGGTATTTCTCCTCAATCATGAAAGGAAGAAAAAAATCACTACTGTATTCTAAAAGAAAAACACACACTCCACCACTCCGGACCATTGTATGGAAACCGGAGTGCGGTGGAGTGTGCTTTACGTTGTTATGGCGTAAATAAATAAATAAATTTAAATAATTATAATACGGTATGGTAAGTTGTGGTTGAGCCATTTCTCAACAGCATAGAGAGACAGTGAAAAGTTTTATATTTTTTACGATGCAGTGACATAAAGTTAAGCAGCTTTATGGCATAAGCAAAGTAAGCTCATCAGATGTTGAACCTAAAGGTTTGCTAGATTCTGTTTTTTTTTGTATTAACCTGTTCTCGAATCTTATCATGCAAATGTATAGTAATATATCACGATGTATTTTGACGCATTATTATTTGTTGGTCTTATTTCTCTATTGTCACAAAAGCAACGTCATATAACAAATAATTGAGGTAAGTTTTCACTGTCTCTCTGTGCTGTTGAGAAATGGCTGCTGCTGCAAAAACGTTCGACACAAGACGTCAACGATTTAGCGGTGTTACTGAAGAACCGGATAAAGTTTTACCACCATTACCACCAATTATTCAGACTAATACAACCTCATCATTATATGAAGCAGTTAAACCAATAAGTCATTTAGTTGCAAATTTACAAAATAAAGTTGCATATGCACTAGAAAAATGCAAAAATCCAAAAGATGATTTAACATGCGATGAATCTGCTGCTATTTATCTTTACACATTACAATGGACAGAAGGAGAAAATTCATTTTATACAATGTTTAATCGTGCGTCGCGTAATGAAAATCGTACACAACTTATACCGTATTATAATTATTTAAATTTATTTCTGCTGGCAATGAATAAACTACCAGCAGTTCAACACCGAATATGGCGTGGTGAAAATATTGATTTGAAAGTTAAATATGAACAAGGTAAGAAAACTCGTGATATACGAACCTTCTCTAGTGTAGGATGAGATCTAAAATGAGAAGTATACCCTTATTGACTGATCAAAGCTGCGTGGCTGGTATCACACTTGTACACTATCATAACTGTAAACACGACATAGTGCATTGCTATACATGCGCCATAAATCTCACTAGAATAGTAGGTCGTTCGATACAGTTTGCATTAGGCATATTCTTTTACATAGAACAGAAAAAACTAGATAGCGCTGCAAAATTCGATGGCGCCAACGAGCGATTCACTTTAATTAACCTGCCAAATGAGTACGCCATAGGTGTATGATCTCCAGACCACATGTCTAGATGCAGTTTCCACAAGGATTCTGAATATAACCTTGCTGAGACTTGAAAGTGAAATACTGCGGAGAAAAACGCATTTTCTGGAAAAGTTAAATTTTTGAGGTTTAACAGCACTTCTCAATATTTTGCATCTTTCTGCCTGAAGACTTGGTCTAAACTAAAAAATAAGGTGATGTTCGTGATCAGGGTGATGTAAGCTATCGGAACATGTATCTAAAAGGAAAAACGACAAGGTGTGGAAACTTTGACGTATGTCACAAGCGATATCTGCCAGCATAAATTGAATATATCCAGATAATATATATGAATAAATGGTGATGATAACCTTTCTCATTATTATTGAGGGCTGGGCGGATATCCGCTTTGAGAATATCCGAAGGATAAGCGAGAAAAGAACGATTACATCAACGAGCATTTCCAGATTTTCCGACTTTTCTGCTTATCCGTCTTTTATGCTTTTACACCATGAATTCACTTTTCCGAAGAAAAAATTCTGCGCGAATGTGTATTTTTCAACCTATGTCGGCCGATATCCTGTCTCGGATATCCCTACCTCGAATATTCATATTTCCTATTTCGGACATCCGCCCATCTCTGTTATTATTCCTAATCTAATTAAAACCGAGCACAAATCAATCCAATACGGGCACATATCTGTCTCCGAGCACGAAAGTGTCAAAAGATTTTTTCGTACCGGGATCGGGGACAAAAAGTCTTAAACGGGCACAGAAAAACATAAATGGGCACAAATCTGTCTTAACTTTGGGCACAAAAAAATCTTCGTCCATTTCTGAAATTATTTTTAAAATTTTTCGCAATGAGATAGTAATAAGAAGATGAACGAGCGATATGGTTGAATAGAGAATTGAATTCTGCATATACTGATATACTTTGTAAATTTTCATAATTAGTTATATTTCAGAAAGAAAGATACTTTTTAATACTGACCTAAAAATACGTGATAATATCAATAATTTGGGGTTGGTCCCAAGAAAAAGTATTTTTTTCAGAAACGATAAGATAGTTAGCCGAAAACGTTTTGCGATAATCATAACTTAGTATACTCTATCGAATGAGCAGAAAATCAGTCAAATCTAAAATTTTGCTTTCTACACGATCGTTGACCCTTGTGGATATTGTGTCTTAAACTCTTCATCTCGTGCGTAACTTTCGTAGAAAATAAACTTTCTGAAAGTTTTGTTTTTCCACCTTCGAGCTTGGTCACTCTCAGTCAGTCACCTTTGTGTTTTGAAAATTCGTTTTAACGCGGTTTTAACATTCATAGAGCGTGAAAATATACAGTTTCACCATGAACACAGCGAATTTCTTGAGCTTTAAATATACGCCTTAATCAAAACCGCAACAGACGCGAGACTGGCTAAAGAACCACAAAAAAACGAATTATTCTATAACAAGCGCGAAAAAACGCGACCTTAGCTTTAAAGTATCGCGCGAAACTCTGTCTAAATTTAGCGCGTTTAACGCAACCTATGGTTACCTCAAATGCGAATCTGACGCTTTTGTTTTTCAAAAGAATTTCTCGCGGTAAATTTTTCGTGAACAGAGTTTCGCGTGATATTTTGAAGCTGAAACCACGTTAAAACGAATTTTCAAAACATATAAGTGACTGACTGGGCTTGCTACACCTACAGCTTATGAACGAAGGAATAGAAAAGTCCAAAATTTTAGCCATGAACCGTGTTTGATATCTTCTATATACAGTAAAAATTTCAACCACATTGGTTACTTTCTGTATAACCACGTGTCTGATTTTTTGAAACAATGGCTCAAAAAAACAATTGTTACAAACGTCAGATAGGAGATAAATGGGAGTCGTTACACATCTAGATCTTTGAGTACCTGCACTATCAGTTCCTTTTTTTAGTATTAAGCTTTTTTAAAATTCTTTTCAAGGTACAACTCATGTTTGATGGGGAGTGAGTTCATGTACAGATATGGTACAGGTTACAGGTGATTTTCTAGCCAACCAAACAAAGAAACGTACATTATTCAATATTAAATGTTATGATGGCAAAACTATTAAAAATCATTCAGCATATCCAGATGAAAGCGAAACACTTCTACCACCAGGAACATAGTTAAAAGTTAAATCATCATTAGATTTTACGGAAAACATTTGTATTGTTGATATAGAACAAATACCACCAGCACCAGAAGAAGTTGCTCAAAGTGCAGATGCTGCTGGCACACGTGGTACATTATCATATAGCAATTCTTCTCAAATTAACGATGTTCATATTCTATGGCTTGATCCAAATATTAGTAAATCACAAGAAAATGTTAAAACGCAAGAAAAATTAAAAGAATTGTATCCTAGTTATTACAAATCATTTGAAAAATCTGATGAATTGGAAAAGTTTATTGAGCAGAACCAAAGGTGTAGTGTGATACTGGTTACTGGTGGACAAATTGGACGTCAAATTGTACCGAAAATACACGATTTATTACAAGTAATATCTCTAATTGTCTATTGTATGGATAAAGAAAAAAATGAAAAATGGTCAGGACATTATAGAAAAGTAAGTGATTTAAAAGAACTATACAAGTTCGATTCGTTAAACTTTTTACTCTTTTAGGTAAAAGGAGTTGTTAATCGTTCGGATGATATGATTAAACAAGTAGAAGAAGAGTATGCACAGCTAGTAGAAGAGCAAAAACAGCAAAAACAACAACAACAAGTGACAGAATCAACAAAAAAATCAATAAGGTAAGTATCTGATTAGACAAAAACTTCGAGTAATAGAAATATTTACTCTATTTTATTCTTTTAATAGTAGAGTTAGTGACCTTGGGGAAGCCCACTTTTTAGCGCTCCTGACTGGTGTTCAAAACAAACCACTTTTATCACTTGAAGAGTCGCTAGCGCCAGTCATGGATATAATATCAGATTTAGACCAATATATATATTTAGCAAAAAAAAGTTGCGAACATCCAGCGGATGGTTTAACACAAGATGAATCGGCATCAATATAATATTTACTCAATGGAATTTGATACATCGGAAGGTAGTCTTTTTTATTCATTAAATCGAGATTTACGTTCAGAATCACGAAATGCATTAAAAAAATGGCTTTCATATTTAAAATTATTTATCCATGCCTTATTTAAATTACCATCAACTGAAGGCACTGTTTGGCGTGGTGTTAACGGGGATGTAAGTTCCATCTATAAAATTGGTAAACGTCTTGCATGGTGGGGTGTTTCATCAACGGCGCGGAACGTGTCCGATCTAGAGTGTCTGCAATACTTAGATAAACACGGTCAGCTCACATTATTTTGTATTCAATGTAAAAACGGTAAAAGTATAGCAAAACATTCATATTTTCCCTTGGAAGATGAAGTATTGTTAATGCCCGGTACTTATCTTGAAGTAATTGGCCAATTACAACCTGCTGAAGGAGTACATATAATTAATCTTAAAGAACTTGATTTACCGTATACAGTTTGCTAGACAATTGTAAGACCGATAATAAATTAAACTCTGCTGTATTCATATGATGCACAGTGGGCAATTTTAAATAGGCACATGGAAATTTAGTGAAAAATGCACTTAATCGTCTCAAGTCAAAGAGTTTATAGGATTTCGAGTATGCTCTTTCCAAAGAAAACCTTTTCGGAACTATAGAAGTTTTTGAACGGGGTTTTCTAGGAAACTTTTCCTGTTTTAGGTCCTAAAATCGCTGAAAAAGGCAAAATTGACCAGTTTTATAGGTTTTCGAGTATGCTCTTTCCAATAGACGATTTTTCGGATCACAAAGGTTTTCTAGAAAACCTTTGAGGTTTTGAGGGGCTACAAAGCGCTAAATTTTGCACAATTGTTCAACTTTATAGGTTTCGACTATGCTCATTCCAATTCGACTATTAACAAATGCTTAGAAATTTATTAGAGAGGGTTTTTAGAAAACCGCATCTCTGGAAAACCCTTTTTGCGCGACCAACAGATGCACGTACAATTCATCTGTTGTTAAAAAAACTAAAAGAGACTAAAATAATCGCAACATGCAAAACGGTCACTGTCATACGTGCACGAAACTAAAAAGATACTAAAATTAATCACCGTGTTAATGACACTGTTAAAATCATGTGTGTTTGTGTGTTTAATTTTTGGGTACTTGTGTTGCCTTCTTGATATATGACGCCAAAAGAACGTTAAGAACAGAAAAAGAGGGTTTTTGTACAAATTTCTGGGGTATTTTCTTTTGTCTGCTATACTTAGTATATAAGACAGAAACCTTTGAAATACAGTCATTTTAACATAAGTCTCTGTGTGTATCAATATTAATAGTCAACTGCCTGCATTTTAAATTATTTATTTTCAATAAATTGACGATTAAAACTAAAATTTCATGAAAATGTGTATGTAATAACTTTGATTTCTTTCTTTTTTGGTGTGGCCAAAGGTTACAGAATTCCTTCTTTGCTTTCTATAAGCTCTATCTCGCTAACAGAAAAGGCAAAGTTCTGAAGTCTTTACCACAGATAGAGAACTTAATAGAAGTTTTTTAGACTCGTTACCATCAATAACAACTCTCGAATCCTGTTTCGATGACATACTGTTACTAATTTTCTCGCATTGTTCGTTCTTGGATTTGTATCAGACACTACTCAATCTCAATTCTCGATTGAATTGCATCATTTTCGATCCCATTCAAATGAAGCTCAAACTCGATTTAGCCAACTTATCAGAAGAAAATTTCGACCGTTATTGTCAACTTCTCGGTGATAATCCATCAAAAGTTGAACGTTTACGGCTTTCAAACCGTGACACGTACGGTACCGTTAGTTCATTTTTGTCTCGTTTCCGTTTATCGGAATTTGTTCAGTTAAAATCGTTGTCACTAGTCGATCTGATACCTATGCAACTATACCAACTTCTCAACGATCTAAAACTAGAACACTTGACGGTAGAACACTTGACAATTCAAACGTCGTTCGCATTCAATCTAGACAGCGTATTTGCAATTCAGTCATTACAATCGTTTTCATTATTGCTTCATGAGGAAACTACATTGATCAATTTCGATTAACTTCATCTTTCATCTGGTGTGCGTGCCTTGTCAGTCAATAATGCTTATTCGTACCCTGCCTGTCTCTCACTCTTTCAACGTCTCTCAAATATTCGCTCTTTGAACATACGCATTTCCTCCTGGCAGCCTGAGAGTTTCCTCTCTCAGCTTCGAATCACTTGTGCTGTCGCATCTTATTCGGCTCACATTGATAACGATTGTTTCATAGATTATAATCATATTGAATCGTTTATCAAACATGTTGGATCTAATCTCAAATTTCTATCGTACACATGTTTTCGGAGTAACAGAATTATAAACGGCTATCAGATCGAACATCTCCTGTCGGGATTACCTCAATTGAAAACATTCCATTACAACGTTGTTCATGTAAA